TGAATTCTGAGAATTTTAGAATACTGAGAGTTTTAGAATTTTGAGAGCTTTAGAATTCTGAGAATTTTAGAATTTTGTGAGTTTTATAATTCTTGAAAATTTTAGAATATTGAGAGTTTTTGAATTTTGAGAGTTTTACAATTCTACGAATTTCAGAATTTTTAGAGTTTTAAAATTCTGAAAATTATAGAATTTTAAGAATTTTACAATTCTGAGAGTTTTATAATCCTGAAGTTTTTAGAATATCGAGAGGTTTAGAATTTTGAGAATTTTAGAATTTCGTATGTTCTCGCAATAATTTTCGAACGCTAGAATCCAAAGCCATGGTACAAACACTTCACCACAGCGTTCGCGGCGATGGATGTTATGCCCGTCTGTGTTCAGTTGGATGATAACATGAACGTCGTTGGACATGAGGACTGTCTCTACCTGAACGTTAACGTACCTGTGGTAAATATCTTTCTTTTCTCTTCTTCCTATTTTTTTTTTTTTTTTTTTTTTTTAGGATAAAAAATACTATGTAGAATTAATAATACAAATGTAAAAGCTTCTTATCTGAAGTGATATTTTTCAGCTACGAGCTCTCTTTCACCGCGAAATATTCTTGAAAAGTTCGTACCGTATCTATGGAACATTCGTGTTACGTTTTGATAATTTTTTGACAAGGGAAATCTTGTTAATTTTTTCCAATTTTCTTCCTTCGTAACATCGACCGAAATTTTCATTAATCTCGTCAATAAGTCTGAATAAATTGTTCGGGCAACGTGCGGATAACTTGAATAACTTTCTGAGAAATAACTTCGACAATAGAACGACGTGGGGAAAAAACGCGCGCGAAAAACACGATCGTTGAAACGCGATCTCGATTGGTTGGCAAGGTCGACTCTCTCGATCTAATGGAATTTAAACGATCCAAGGCCCGTTTTTTGCTTTCTTTTCAATTTCAAAAAACTTCTGCATCATCGCGTAAGAACTGGACTTACGCGAGGAAAAATGCGTGAAAATAGGTTTCAGAGAAACACAGGGAGAACTGCACGCTGCTTCCGGTTCTCGTTTACGTGCACAGCGGAGGGACTTACAGCGACTATCGTAATCTCCCGACAGACTACATGATGGATCAGAACGTGATCCTGGTCGTCGTTCAGCATCGCTTGAATATTTTTGGTAATAACGGATCTCTCGTAAATTATCAAACCATCGAGAAAACTAATTATTTATAGAACAATATAATTACTTTCGAACAATCTAATTTTCCGATCATCGAATTCCCAACTTTCTCGCATCTCAATATCCCAATTTTCTACCCAATTCCCCGATCTTTCGATCAACTAATTCTCCCAACTTTAACAACGCTAGAAGCATAAAATTTCCACTAAATTACGCTTCGCGAAAAAAGAAATCATTTGAATCGCTAAAAATGTTTAGTATCTGTAAAATTTCTGAAAGAAAATTACCGTGCTTAGTATCTGTCAAATTTCTGAAAGAAAATTACTGTGCTTGGTATCTGTAAAATTTCTGAAAGAAAATTACTGTGCTTAATATCTAAAATTTCTGAAAGAAAATTACTGTGCTTTGTATTTGTAAAATTTCTGAAAGA